CATATCGCCACTAGTCGCGAATCGCACTAATCATGATCGCGCGTGCGACTTTCCCCTTTGTACTCCGTACTTGGGGCGAAGACAGTACATTACTCTCTGTACAGTAGCCTGTGGCAAACACCAGAGGAAAAAATATCAAGGAACGAGATAAGCCGGAACTTTGTGAGACAGTAATGCGCCATTGACGGTGCGTAGGTTTAGTCTGGTTTGTATACGGGCTCGGGTTGAGGATTGGCCATTATTGTAATATCGAGATAGTGATACCCAGTAAAAACAGCGCGCAAGAATAGATTAGATTAATTTGTTCTGCCTGTCATATGTGTCTTATGTCACTTAGAATTTAGAAAATGTAAATTGGAAACTGGAAATACAGAAACACAAAGGGGGTTTTTGGAACTGCAGACCCATCACGGCTTGACTCTGTCGAGCTCCATCGACTAAAGCTGCACCTCAGAACCGGTTTTATTCGGTGGTGTTCACTACTGTAGGCATGAAACACTGCCTAAGGCGAATCGGACACCATTTCCGTGGGATACAGATTTGGCGAATGATCTTCGCTTTATTGACGTCTTATTTTTGATTTCTAATGTGTTTTTAACTTTCGCGATGTTTCCTTTTGCTTACGGGATTGTTGGAACCGCGAATCAACGCGGACTCACCGGACTTGCGGCTGGGCCTGCCGAGACATAAGTTTTTGATCTGTAGTGCGTACAGGGGTGATGTTCCTGACGGGGATTATTCCTAGCCCGGTAAGTGTAGATGGAACATGCAACAACAGTAATGAAAAACAAATCGCTCACAACACAAGGATAGACAAAGTCGGGGACTAACTTCGGAAGACCCGGGTAGTCGGCGTGTTTCTCAGGCACTAATACATGCACTAACACACTAAAGAATGGTGCCAGGATCACAGCCCTGGAGTACCTGCGCAGCTACGTAAGTGGACACAAACGCGTTTTACTCTTCTTGGTCCACGCCCTACAGAAAATGGGGCTCCCCGCATGCAAGTCACTTGGCCATAGCATATCATATCCTGAAACGGTAGATCAATGCTCGAGTCAGTTCTATACTCCGTCCGTACTTGACTTGACTTGACTTTCTGACACCTGGGCCCTGGGTTCTACTTCATAAGCATCTGAACTATATTCCTGGTTCTGGTTGGACTTTCCAATCTGATGAATCTCAGCTACGCGACTTGGCGAAATATCCTAGGAAAATGCCCGCCCAATCGCTCCATGAAATCATAAAGTGGCGTCTGCGACGGGGGCCGCCCCCGTTTTACTGAGTCGCCGACACCCACAATATAGTTCCGACACATAGCAAAGATCATGAAACGGATCCTGGATCCTACGTTTTGTAAATGATACCGAGTAGATCAATGTAACAGTATATGTTTAATCACAGAGACACAGTTTGCCAGACAATCCGTTTGGATAATTCCCTAGTCTGGGCACTGTACCGTCGAGATGGAAATAACCCAAACCAAACCCATGACTGGAGAGATCTAAGAATATAGACACAAATATGAACAAATAACAATATATTCACAAAACAATTGCAAATGTCAAACGATAAATCACGAATCCCGACCGTCAACCGAGGTAAAAAGAACAACAATTTCTGGCCCCCAAGCCAAGCCCCGTCTAATCACGTAGTCGCTTTCACTTACGTATCTTGGAAACATTCGTACCAATAAGAAGAGCACACACCATGGACATGTCATACCGGGATCTCTTAACATAAGGCATAATGAAGTACAATTATTATCCAATCGATCCGGGTTTCGCAATACTGGTGCAATATTGAGGTAGATTGATAATCGCTTAGGGTTCACATGTGTCTACTGCACCGATCTACTCCGTACGCGCAATTGGATTCCTGTTTTAGGTAGTTCGCTTGTCATGCGAGCTCCGACATTCAGTCCTCTCTCCAAGCGAGCATCTCTGTGGGGATAAGGTCAACGGCGATCTAAGGGGCAGAGAGCACCGGGACCCGCCGACCCTCTTTCCGTCTGAATGGTAGGGAAATAATCTCCCTACTGACCCATGCACATTGGTTTGTGAACTGTCAGGGATATCCCCTGTTGTGTTTGGAGTATATGTGCAAATCGTAATTCCCGTTGGTATTGCAATTGCAATTGCGATCGCGATGGGACCTTGCAAGTAGGTTAGTAGAAGTTAGTTGATAGTAAACCATAGTATACTATCGTTGACGGTGTAGATACTGTAATCCTGAGACAGTACTCTACGCTACAATGTATATCGCATCAAGAACCACAATCTCTTAAGATGGGATGGAATAGGGAGCTTGGCAGAGAAAATGACGACATTGTCTCTACACTGTCGTATCTGGAGATAAGGCTCGCTGTGATTTGTTATTCCCAGAGCACTAATCTCTAGGCGCCGAGCTGTATAGCTTGCCGCTGGTGTTGGCGCGGGGTGGAGAACGCGAACAGCCATGTTATTGCCTGCCGCGTTTTATTATGGAGCCCGATGTCTCCATCTTTCACTTTCGGCTCTGGTAACGCTAGTTTTGTTACAGGTACAGGCACAGTTTCCCAAACGGGTATGCACTTTGAGAAAACAACAATACTAATACTGTTATTAATGTCCAGGCCCTGACGATCGAAGCTCGTATCGAGTCACACGACAGGGGAAATAAATGGTACCGACCTGCAACTAGTGGACAAAATCCCGATAATCCGATGCCAATGTTAGAACTGTATTAGTCTGGCAATCTGTCAAATTAGACCTGAGACTACTACTTCAAATTTGGATACCCTCGAAAGCCGCAAAAGCCGCCAATAGTAAGCTTTGAATTAGATGGAGCTTGGGCCTTGGGAGCTTGGGACATGTGGGAACTGTGGATGTAGCCGTGTATTAGTTACGTATATTACATTACAGGGTGGGGTGCGCTACTGGACCGTTACCGGGATCCAGTGGATCCCGGTATTACATTACCGAGTACAGAACACCCTTATACACATGTTGGCATTCCACACGTTCGGAGAGATCTTGAATCCAGTTACATGTACTCTCGTACCCAGAAGTTCAGACATAGACCTAGTGTATCCAGTAAGAAGTGGATACCATATTCAAAATACATGTATGACCATATCCTTCTTTAGTGTTAGACCGAACCAGCACAAAACAAGCTTTGTGGAATGGAGTCCACATCGATCACCGCGCGGCCATTGCGCTTTCCAATCCAGGTCCAGATCCAAGCCCAAGTCCAATTCCATGTCCTAATTTCAAGATAATTCTCTCAACGCCAAACATGGTATGCGCCAAAAGTGTTAGAACCGTTCAAACTGTCAGCAGGCAACTTCGATACGAGCGATCGACGCCGCTTATAACCGCCAATGTAGCGGCTCAGGCCGTCTAGTCCAATTCTGCCGAGCCAGGAAATTACCAGATCGTGTTGCTCGGCTGTTGAGTGGGGAGAAGGTGTTTTCAAACTTTGATCCCTGGTCCACATGTGGCATTGTTTCAACTGTCACTTTTTCTGTCTGTCTATCTATCACTATCACCTTGCTTGACTTCCTGGTTTTGCATTTGGACTATACTGTATCTGCAGTGTCACCTCAAACTCTGAAGATCCCGTCCAAATACGCCCTCCCATCCCATCAGTCCCGGTATTCTGGTATTCTTTGCCCCCACCCTCCCCTAATCTCCGGTCTAGATCGTTGAACGGCAAGATCGACTTTCTTTTTTTGTTGGGGGGATGTCTTTTCGTTTGGCATATTAGAGCGAGGCAGTGTATAGAACCTATCCACCAGACCCAGATAGATCCAGATCTTGATCCAGACCCGGACTAATATCCAGAATTAGAAGCTGGACTACGACGGACCAGAACCACATTTAGGACCCCAGGTACGGAGTACACCTATATACAGTGTACCCATAGTATATTGTAACGGTGACCTAGTTAAAAGACCGGTTATACTGTAGTAAAAGGTATAGATCGAGTCCACTTGTCTGCACTATAGACAAAGAGATGTTAACTAGGGATCTCAAACGGCCCCCTGAAATTGACGTGTATCGACTCCCGCATAGAGTTAAGTTAAGCAGATCGCTGTGATCTGTACGCAAAGTGTATCAGTGTATCAGGAACACTGTAAGTAAGTCTGTAAGTAGAGAATCCAGGTTGAAGTTTTAAGTGGAACCGCGCCAAGTACCGGAAACATTAATCAAGCCCAAACGCCAATCACAAACTTTGCAAATGTCACTCTTCCCGTCTAACTCGAATGAGAAGGAAAATTGGCCCACGGCTATCCCCCAGACAGCGCTAAACCTCTTTAAGAAATTTTAAACGAAGACGGATCAGTATACAAATATGTATGGACTATGTTATCCTATTCTAGATATAGCTGTCCGTCATTCCTGATTGAATGACCCAGGGACCCAGGGCACTGGTTTCAGTGTTGATGTCAAGTTAGTGTCTGTATTGTTGGTACGACATTCGTACCGGTCGCGTTGAAGCTGGAACCGATGCTTGTACATGTACTTATACTCTATCTGGCAGGGATCTTTGTAGCGCCTTGGTTCACACGCGGGTTGGTCATGTAGCTCGGCTATTTCTGTGGTGGCATGTGTCGGACAACGCCGACTTGATATTGCTATCTGCCAAGAAGGGGGATGTACATGTACCTGGCGGGTGATATCTGAGCCGATGAGTTGGATATGAGATTATGCGCGTGTAGAGTAGAACAAGGGTTAATTGGCGGATATGCATATAAGCCATTGTCATGTCTGATACAGATACCGCGTGCAAGAATAGCTCGTGCTCCGGTGCAGTATGGTTCGATGCTGGACAGGGGACTACGGTTGTATGGGGATGGGATATCACTTCAAGCTCGATTTGTTCATCCTCTCCTAAGTTACTGAATATATACAAGCAAAAAAGTGACAACGATCAATGACGCTACACGCGCTAGCAAGGCCTTCTCCATAAACAAACTATACTGTAGGTCCGGCCAAATCTCATCTCATAAATGTCATCTAATCATCAGAAACAGCAACTTCATCCTCCCACTTCGGCTGGACAACCTCACGAGCACGGTTAATAACACGCTCAATACCATCCAGACCCATCTTCAAGACATCCATCTTGGGACCGTAACTCAAACGCACAAAGTGGTGACACGGGCTGTCGAAGAGATCGCGACGCTTAGCCGGGTTCAAGTCGAAAAAGATACCAGGAACGACGATGACCTTCTCGCTCAAGAGGGCGTTGAAGAAATTCAGACCGTCGGAGATGTTGGCCTGAGGGGGCAGAGGAGGGTCGAGGGAGGTCAGATCCAGCCAGATGTAGAAGGTCGCCTGCGGTACGTCCTGCACGCGGAAGCCGATATCGTACAGGCGCTTCAGGACATAGTCGCGCTTCTCGATGAAGTGAGTCTGCAGCGCTTTCATCTCCGCGCGCACCAGGTTCGGCTCGAGCATTGGGATGGCGGCTTCTTGGAAGGGCACGTTGGCTCCGCCGTCTAGGTAGGAGCCTGCGGACCCTAGCGCGTCGACGAATTCCTTGGGTCCGACGACCCAGGCAATACGCCAGCCTGGGAGACGGAAGCGCTTGGTCAGACCGTCGATTAGGAGGACGTCTGGGTGGCAGGTTAGTGGACATGCGGATACAACTCTGGGGGTATTGGGCGCTTACCATCCTTGTTGACGTCGATGACGTTTGCGGCACCGCTGATGGTTGAGCCATCGCAGTCTGATGTGTAGTTGTATCCGCCGTAGAACTCGTCCAGGATGAGAGTTGCGCGGTCACGACAAAGGTCCTGAATCTCAACCAGCTCCTCATGCGACACGAAGTGGCCAGTAGGGTTACGGGGGTTGGAGGTCAGCAGCACCTGAGTACCACGGGCGATTTCCTCGGCGATCTTGTTGGGGTGGATGTGGTAGTGGTCCTCTTGAGAGAGAGGAATGGGGATGGGAGCAATCTGCCAGAGACCGTTAGCAAAGGTATCACCAGACAAGCTATGTATCCAAGCTCAACCACTCACGTTCTTGAACAGCGACAACATCTCCGAGTACGCAGAGTAATCGGGAATGGGGAACGACAGGTACGAGTTACCCAAGATCGCAGCAATGCGGATCAAACCCGCACGACCACCAGGCACAATGCAGACATTCTCCCAGGTGTACTGGCTCTCCTTGCCCTGACGGTAGTGGTCATTGTACAGACGAGCAACGGCCGCGCGCAACGGCTTGATACCGGCGGTCGGACCATACTCCCGAGCAGCGGAGGTGATGGGGATCGACGTCGGGCGCGGGAAGCTACCTTCGATCTCATCGTCGGCCTCGGGGGCTCCCTGGCCTAGGTTGGCCCAGCCGGAGGGGTCTTCGGCGTAGCCATGCTCGGCGGCTCGCTCTGTACACCAGACGACACCGGTGGACGCACGGGAGGCGTCGAGGCCGGCGTGGGGACGGTGGCCTTCGTGGGCAGCGCGGAATTGGCGATGGGTCTCGGAATGGATTTCTATTGACAGTTAGGAGAGTTGTATCTCGTCAGGGGGTGAACGCACCGTTGGTTGACAGCTCCTTGCTCGCTGAGAAGCGGCGGTTGTCAGCGGGGCGGAGGAGGCTCAGGCGGCGGCCTGAGAACGACATTCTTGGCAGCTTGTGACTTGGGCTTGATGGGATGCAGGTGGTGATATCCTTCTAGAAAAGAAGAAAAGCAGGAGGGAAAGTTTGTGCCTGACGGCTGAACCCACTGTTTTGTGAAAAATATCACTGCCAAATCCTGCCCGACGATTCGACAGAATCACCGACTCTTACACCAATTAATCCCTCATTCGGATGCCAGACCCTCCACGCGTCTCAGACCATTAATAGCGCAGGGCAAATGGGCAAATAGCCTTCTTTTGTTATTGTTATCATGTTGATCTTCCCCTGAAGCCTGCACTACAACTGTAGAATATAGGCATAGCTACCTATGTATAGTGACGTAGTAATAGTTTTGACACCCCTTTGATTATACTCTGCCGGTTAAATATTCGATCTTTCAACAGCCCTAGACTGGTTTCCTGATAAAACGCTTAACTGTTGTGGACTAGGTTGAATCTTGTCTTCTATAAAAAGCACTTACTGAAGCAAACACGCTTAAGTTGAGATGATATAAACTTCTCTTCGGTTTGCGATAGGCGGTCTAAAAAGCGGTTTGTCCAATGGTGTTAAAATGTAGCTTCCCCTGTCTCGGCTACCCGGCTGCTACGGCATCCCGATGGGAGTAAACAGTAAACAAGTACGGAAAGTCTTTTATAGAATTCGTGAGAATGCAGGCCAGAAAGTACAAATCGATATGCATACATCGCGTAAAGTGCTTCATACGTTCATGGACATGGAGATCAGGTGAAGAGAACAGTCAACTTCCACATAAAGAGCGCAAATTCAAACGATGCAGGTCATAGCGAGGTGGAGGGGTGCCGTAAATCAAATCATTATGCAGATGTTCGTGGGGACAGTCCGAATGCCTGCCACGGCCATGCGGCTCGGAAGTCTCAGAGATGAGATAGAAAGAAGTATCTCCCCATGAACAGCTGCTCAGCAGTCTCAAGCCAACCCAGATGGAAAAGGTCAGAATGGGAGCACAGGCGATGCAAATTGTTAGAAATAGGAATCGATACGATCCTCGCAAAGTATAGGGTATTATTTCATGACGAATGGGAGAAAGACGCGAGAAAGAGTCATCTAATCGACCACCTGACAGTAGAGCTGAATCTCTCCTATCAGGCCCTTGGCAAGCATGTCCCGGTGTTGCTCACGCCACTCCATAAATGCGAGCTGAACCGCCTCGTCACTATCGATTGTGACGAAATCTCCATCCTCGTCGCGGTAACGCAATCGAACGGTTTTGTTTCCGATAGATCGGTCAGTGAAGCGAGCCAGCTTGGCATCCACGCGGTCCGTCAACGAACGGAAGAGGATGTTGGTTGCAATCACCAGTGTCACGTAGTTGTCATCGAAGTTGACCTTGGCCTTGAGCTGGGTGGGCATGTATGAGTCTCCTTCGTCAGGCTCTTGGGTCAGAGGCGAGGTGGCATGATCGGAGATTTGCGCCGAGTTGCGTGCTTCGTTGTATTCTGGTTCGTTGAAATGTGTAGTGTGGATGTGTGGCTGGGTACGAATGGGGAGCTGACTGTTGGTGGGCGAACTGTTCTGGCTTCGGTTGACTGGCGCTTTCATGTTGGCCATGTGCGCAGGGATCGGAGGCACCGGGACATTGTCGACGGTCTGCATCGTGTGCACTCCCATGTACCGTTGAGATCCTGGAGGTCCGTTGTTGTGGTGGTGAATGTCAGGACTACTAGCCGACCGCATCCGCTGAGCCATGCCATTGGCAGAGTGTCCCTGGGACCCCGAGAGGGGAGGCAAAGACGGACGCTGGGCACCTCGAACATTAGGCTGTGGCGGGAAGTATCCCCCAGAGGTTGAACCTTCCCGTGACGCTACACGAGACAGGGCCGGCGCTGTGTATCTATTTGACTCTTCATTCCAAACAGTCGATGGGGTTGTGGAATTGGTATTCTGGCGTCCGAAGGAAAATCCTGACTGGGAACTCGATCTGGTAGATGGAGTCTCCGTGGGAGAGAAGTAAGAGTTCATTCCGCGATCACTGGGGGACATGTTTCCATTGCCGGAGAACTGAGTGTGCACCGAGAGTGTCGGATCAGTCCCTCCAGTGTAGCGCGATCGGCTATTCGGATGAGGAACAGAGTTGGTGCTGCCACCGGTGGCGGACCGGGTTCTCAGGCTAGTACTAGATGCGTTTCGGCTCATGGGGAACTCAGAATAGTAGGGGTCTTTGCCGTTGGCGTCATCAGTGTCGTACTCCTGTTGATACGGGTTGGGCATATGGGCCATACCCTCCATGTATGTGAATTCGCTGTCCGAGGTACCAGTGTTCCGAAGATTGCGTCGCTCGGCTTGGATCGCTCGCTGGGTGTCAATGTCCTTGTACCAATTGCGCATTGTGTCTTCGTTCGAATAACGGATGATGAAATTGTCAACAACACCGGGGTCACCCTTCCAGAAGATCTGAATACGGTAGAGGCCGGGCTTTTGAAGGCAGACGATATCCGTGACGTTGGCCATGTATATCCGACCCTTCAACTGGAGACGAGCCTTGCCTTTCGCGTTGAGAGACGGCTTGTCCTTCTGCATCATGAGCTTTGTCTTTTGCTTGTTGGGGTTGATGTCTTTGCAGCATAGAAGAATTCGCTCAAACAGATAGATGTGATACTGATAGTCATGTTAGTAAGTTTTCATATAACGATAGACGATTAAAGCAAATGGCATACCTCTCTTTCGCTATCCTTGCCACTGTCCCCCTTGACTACTTGGAACGTGCCAAATCGAAGAAGGTCTCCAAAGGAGTCCATCTTCAATGCTTTCCAATCATCGACGCGCTCAGAGAGATCAACAACGGCTGCAGCCAGATGCTCCTTGTGAATTGCCTCATTCGCAAAGTCAAGCACATTTTGAATAGTGTCGATTGCATGGGTGATATCGCCCTGAAGTTGCGGGTCTTCTAATTGTTTGCGTAGCTCCTATAACGCAATCACATTAGCCATCAATCCAGAAAGGGCGACGAATGAGCCTACTTACCGAGAGCATGAGCGGGTAGCGAGTCAATCGCTGGAAGGGTTTAACGAAGAACCCGTTGAGCGTCTTCGGCTGCGCAACCATTTGTTGCAGGTCCACGGAGCGTGGCGCGCTCTTGATCTTATCCCACTCCTTCATACAGGCATCGTCGCAACGCATTTGGTTGGCAATGAAAGGTTCATACTGCCGGAATGCTTCTTCGTGCGAGAAGAATAGCTGACCCCAGTTCTGCATTTCTTCCGGTAGCGCGTAGTGTTGCTCCATACGAATGAGGAATCGTTGCGCAAAGTCTAGCAAGTTGTTCAAGTTGAGGAAAATCTGATGGCTCGCGTCACCAGTCAAAGCACCTGTCTCCTCTAGTTCCTTTTTAAGCGCTTGGAGATTTTGCAGGTGATGGACATAGTCGCGCTCCGTTTCCAGAAGCTCTTTCAGAATGTGCTCCCGTGTGGTGAGCTTAACAGCCGCCTTAGCACCCGTAGGTGTTTCTGTGGCTTCCGATTGCTTCAATTGACCTTGCATCTCCAGGATGTCCACCACACGGTTGACCATCTTGATAACTTTAATGAATCCTGTTGTGCTCTCGCCATAGAGATCAGTGATCAAGAAGCAATCTTGCTGGGGGAACGCCAGGTCTTGCAAGCAGGCCTGTAGGAACTTGAAGGTTGCAGCCTTAGGGCGCTTGCCTTCGGTCACCTTCTCCGGGTTGATTTCCAGCTTCTCATCGGGACCAGAGGCATTGTAGATACTCAACAGTGGATAGCCATTTCGAAGGCAGTTCCACAACGATGCTACCGGATCAGTGTTCCCTCTGATGCGATCATCGTCATCCATCTCTTGCAGGTATGACTCAAAATTCGGGACCTCAGATAGTCTCCTCCTTAGATTGACACAGCTCTGGTAGATCGATTCACCACCCCGTCGATTGATGATGTTATCCTCGGCGACCGGCGCGCCGCTCATCGCTGCGGAATCGATCATATCGAATGTCCTCGAGGGTGAAGTATATATGAGTTAGACCAGCCAGTCTCAATTTTGAATCTGCACAGCAGACCCGCGATGGGTTGGTTCTGAGGGAGCGACAAGCGTCGGGAGATGGGAGATGACAATCATGGATTCCCCGGGTGGGTGTGGGCGCAGTCCAGGTTCGAAATCCAAGGCGACTAGCTCTCCGATCAACGCGTGAGTTGTATATTCGGCGAAGCGGTTTCGAACAAGCACCCGGTAGATATATGTATATTTATGAACCGAGGACTCAGATGTCAAATTCGGGGCACCGTCACTCTCTGGCGAAAAAGGAGGGGCTCGAGGGATATATTCCGACCTGCAGCCAACCCCAATCGATAGGGTATTTAGATTCGAGCTGAAGTATCGCTGCAGCCGGGCAAGCGAGTCAGATCAGAGATGAAAGAAAGTTCGGAGGAACACCTCGGAAGGCCAGTCACTAGGACTCGGGGGGAGGCGAGGGGAAAAAGGGGCGCCAAGGGGATATGGGAACCAGAAACAAGGGCCCGATCGGACGATAATATCGAGGCAAAGAAACAAAGCGACAAGAGCCAGTACAACAGATAAACGGCGGTTCTGCTGATGGTAGAAACGAAGAAAGGAGAGAGGGTGAGCCGAAGGAGTCTCTTCAGTTGCCCCAAGGGGTTTAGCGTGTGTTCCATCGGGCGGTGGGATGTGGAGAGGGGCAGTTGACACCTTGGAGTTATAAGTATAGACAGACATGTTGGACATTTTGGACATTCTGGGGATGTCTTGTCTGTTTGTCTGTTGTCTGTTGTATATATCTTCAATGGATACTCCTGAGGATCACGGGCATGCTGCCTTAATGGCCATAGGGCCTAGCCATAGGCCCTAGCTATGCAGGTTAGATTGAGGGGAGTTCGACAGCTGGCAATGTGTACTTTACTGTATGGAGTATTCCATGATGTGACATACAGACATACATGTACAGGCTGGCATACAATCTATGTATTACGCTTTATAATGTATGGCGGAAATAGGCTGTCTGTTGGCTTCAATAGCTTCAAAGGCAAAGAAAGTCTGCCTCTATGGGCTTCCTTGTAAACTACGGATTTATTGCCCGGGGAGTACAGTAGAATAGGTACCTCATTCCCCTGTCCGCAATACTGTAGATCTAAGATCTAACTTACACTAATCCTTGACTGGCGCTGGACATCTTCTATACACTTGACCAAACCCACGTGACCCAGGGGCAGCAATGTCCATTCCTGTGCCTTCATAATTTTACAAGTATTTGTTTTGTAATTTCGAGAGTCTGGATTTCAATAACTAGTATAAATATACCTGTGTTGATAATTAGATCTACTTTCTATGTGGATCCTGTGGGTGTGACGTGACATGCAAAAGAGTGGCCAACCCGTTCAACCTTTCTCTCACATTCATCCTCTCGGGGACAACCCTCGTTTCCTCTATCTCTGCTATTCGTGAACTGTCTCCTGCTATAGGTTTCGCGCAGAGCCACCACTCTCGGTGTTCGACTCATCACCACGGCGCAAACCCCTCGGAACCCCGTCAATGGAGGGCGATTCTATGCCTGATGCTCGAACATCCCCGACACTGCGATTGCAGACCACCGTCGCCGACTTCCCTGCGCCTTCTCTGTCGCCCACTTTTAAGCTGGATGAAGGATACTCCGATGAGACCCGAAGCCAGGCAGAGAAGGACCCGGGTTCGGACAATGTTATGATGCTTCCGAACTGGGTGCTCGCTCAGAGCGAGGCCGGCAGAGCTGGTGAGAATTTCTTGTGTTCACTTTTCTGTGCCCTTATTGCCACAGCGGTAAAGCGCGCATTTCCAGCTTGTCGCCTTTGCCTTCCTGGTCGCTTTGTTCTTCCTGCTGACCGAAGTTTCCTCCCCCACAGAGCTGGCGTACAGTCTCCTACGGTCCCTACGTACCTCAAGCATCGCCGCAGTGGTTGAACGACTCAATCCAATTCTCCACATGGATCCCGTTGTCAAGCTTCCCCCCGAACTCACATGGGAGATCTTTTCCTACCTCGACCCCAAAACGCTCCTGAACTGCTCGCTTTCGTCCCGCGCGTGGCGTGAACGGATTCTGGATTCGGGTCTATGGCGATTCCTCTACATCAACGAAGGCTGGCGCATGGATGTGCGGGCTATTCGTGCCTTCGAACAGGAACATTCCGAACCCATCTCGCCCCAGTCCCGAAAGTCTCGCCTGCGACACAACGAACCAGACATTGGGGAGCCTAAGCACAAAAAGCGCGTGCCGCCAACGTGGCTCTCTTCGCGAAGCACTGAAGAACAAAGAGACGCTGGGCTCAACTTTGCACCCGCAGTGGCCGATAATGAGGGTGATCACCACATGACGGATGACGACCAAAGTGATCCTTCGCTGGCCAGCTCGAATCACACTCCGCCAACCCCTTCTTTCCGAATCCCCTCATCGCTATACCCACCTCTGCAATCGTCCCTCCTCACGCGTGCTCCTGACGGAAGTGTCAAAGTCAACTGGTCTCATCTCTATAAGCAGCGAAGGCGGCTCGAAAAGAATTGGCACCAAGGCCGATACACCAATTTCCAGCTTCCCGATCCATCTCACCCGGAGGAAGCACACCGAGAATGCGTCTATGCGATCCAGTTCGAAGGAAGATGGCTAGTCAGTGGGAGCCGAGACAAGACAGTCCGTGTCTGGAATCTGGATACAAAGCGCTTATGGCACACCCCGCTAATAGGCCACGCAAAGTCCGTTCTCTGTCTTCAATTCGATCCTAGCCCCGAGGAGGATGTCATCATCTCTGGCAGCAGCGACAAGACTGTCATTGTATGGAAATTCTCGACTGGAGAAAAAATTCACCAGATCACAAAAGCACACGCAGATTCGGTCTTGAATCTGAAGTTCGATCGTCGGTTCCTGGTCACCTGCTCCAAGGACCGAACCGTTAAAGTATGGAACCGCAGGGAGCTTCTGCCGAATGACAAAGATTACCCACGCATCTGCCGAGGCGGAGGTGCAACTTACCCTTCGCACATTATTGATCTCACCGACATTGCACCAAACATGCTTGAGGCTGGCATTGCCAATGGACAAATCAAAGCTTTGCAGCCTTACTCACTGCTTATGACCGTAGAAGGACACGGAGCTGCGGTCAATGCGATGCAAATCCACGGCGATGAGATTGTGACCGCGTCTGGTGATCGCTTGATCAAGGTCTGGAGCATTCGAAATGGGGCCTGTTTGAAGACTTTGATGGGCCACGAGAAAGGTATCGCGTGCGTTGAATTTGACAGCCGAAGGATTATCAGTGGCAGCAATGATAACACAGTCCGCATCTATGATCATGTTTCCGGGGCCGAGGTGGCGTGTCTGCGCGGTCACAGCAATCTTGTTCGTACCCTTCAAGCAGGCTTTGGTGATCGTCCCGGAGCCGACGAAACCCTGCGACAAGAAGCGCAAGCAGTGGAAAATGAGTTCTTCGCCGCTCAAGAGGCCGGGGAGTCTGTTGACCTGGGCGCTCGAGAACAACGGCGCAGCGGCCATCGAGTCAACACTGCAGGGTCCCGAGACCCTCGCGATATCACCGCTCTAGGGGCAAAGATCCCTCCTGGTGGTGGAGGTAGCAGCTGGGCCCGCATCGTATCCGGGTCCTATGACGAGACTATCTTGATCTGGCATAAGGATCGTGATGGAAGGTGGACAATGGCTCACCAACTGCGACAAGCGGATGCCGTTACCAACGCCGCTCGTGGGAACCTCAGCCAAGTAGCACGGACTACAGTCGCGGCTCAGGCTCAACAGCTGCAAGCAGCACAGGTTCTGATGACACTTCCCACGTCCCAGGCAGGACAAAATGGTACCGGGAACAATATAGCTCAAGCTGGACCTGCCAACCAGAACAACCAGGTTGCCCATGCCAATGCAGCTCCTCCGGCTGGTACACTCGGACAGGCACCCAACCCACCTCCCGCTCACCACCATCATCACCACGTTCACCCACGGAGACAAGCTATCATTCCAACCCCCACTGCGAGAGTATTCAAACTCCAGTTCGATGCACGAAAGATCATTTGCGCCAGTGTCGACCCACGTATTGTGGGATGGGATTTCGCCTGCGATGACGAAGAACTCATTGAGGCATGCCAGTTTTTCCAGGGACTATAATTCTTATACAGATTTTAATACCGGCGCCTGATTATCTTTTACCTGGGTGAATCTCTCTATCGTCCGCGCTGGACGCGAACCCTCAATGCCCTCCCTGATGAGAAACATGAATGGTGCAACTGTTCAATGATGACTTCTTACTTGCATCCTGCATGATGTTTGCTTTTCTCTTCTCGCTTTTCTGGGTGTCCCGAACTATTATCCCTATTCTCTCTGCCACTCGCCCATATCCTTCCAATTCCTATGCATGCGACGGGCCCTTGCTCTATCTAATGATGTATTCCTCAAACATGCCTCAAGTGTCTTTTACCATCTTTCCGGTTTCCTATTTGCTTACCATATTTACCTTGCATGGCGCCAGTGTGGCAGTCTATCAATAGTTATTACTAGCATTGCATGAATTCACCCAGGGTGATCAATCCAAAACTTTTAATGACAGGTTTACAAGAGTCTAAATTTCTATATCGGTAAATCCTGTCCCGAAGATGCACGCATTAGTGGTGTTGGTGTCTCGTAGTTGGAGTCTATGGTATTTGGATGTGCACCATGCTCAAGAAGGACTTCTAGAAGGGATTCCAGGTTGAGGCTGATGGGCGGGGCCGGGCCGTGGACGGGGAGACGGGTGAGGCCAATGCGCAGTATAAAGTCCCACTGGTGGACCCGAGGCTGTTACACTCAACACACCAAGACGAGGATCGAACTGGTTAACCAGGGACGAGCAATAGGCAGTGAAGTCAAGCTGTGTGGAAAGTAGAATAAAAAAAGTCACCCCGAAATTATTATGGAAGATGCCTAAATTTGGGTCACTCCGGGGTAAATCTTTCACTACCTTACCCCATCCCTCGACCATCGTCCTCCCAAATGATGGCCTTGGACCCCCGCAGGGGGCACTTGGCACAGCCATCAGGTACGGAGGGGGAGGGGTCCGCACCAAACCACCGCTTATTTGCTCAGATGGAGGCGAGCAGGTCGGCCATAAGGACTTCGGTTGAGGTTCTAACTCCGGTTTAACTCGATAACACCACTTCGTTGACAAAGAGGCCATTTGATTGAAAGAACGTTCAGATTCAGATTCATGTCAGGGTTCGATTGATCCCCATTATTATTGTTTAATTCACGGACAGCCTGAGCAGATTAACCATGTCCATTTTGGGGTCCTGCTTATGTCGATGTTGTGGCGTTACAGTCAATATCGACATTCTTACATTGCAATCACCTCCTCTTGGTTAAAAATTAAAGTATCAATATGTCCCCAGCGTGTCTTCAACCTCCATATCACCAGAAGCAATAGAAAATCAATATGCGACGAAGCTCACCAACTCCGAATAGATCACGGAACAGCCCTGTCTGGCCCCATCCCATGAGCAGTATTCTTGATTGTATGAAGAAACATTGACGGGAAACAATGTCTCCCAAAGCGATCCTCAAACGGCTGCATAAAAACACACATCAGCATGACATACATCCAAAAGCAGAGAAACAGTCGAGGAACGACTTACCGTCTTCCCACCCTCATGCTCGGCAGTCCTAAACCCTAACCAGCGCCTGTACAAATCCTCCGCACTATGCGTAGTAAACATGTACGAAAGCCGATAAGTAATATGGTCAAACAAATGAGAAAAGTTCCAAATACTATCCGGACCCCCATTGATATTTTCCGGCGTGCCGGGGTTATAAATGCGCGCCAGTTCCTGCGGCGTCCACTGGCCATCGGCATAGATAGGATGCGGAACATACACAGCCTTTAGACCATGGAACAGCGACCACGACGCACCCGTCATTTCGGAAGCAAGACCGAGTCCCTTCGTCGCTTGTGCGTAATGGATCAAATCTAGGAGACGTTTGGAGTACCGACCCATTGTGATAACTGCCGCACGGCGTGGGGTTTCGTTGCCGTATTTGAAGTTCCAGATTTTGTCGGGGAATGTCCATGCTGTGTCTTTTGGGTTGAAGATGGGCAGGAAAGTTATGAAGTCTGCTTCTTCGCCGACGCCCCAGGTGTAGTTGTCGTAGTCGGGGTGCGGGACTGGGGGGTCCGGGCCTAGGGGTCTGATTCCTGTGCCGGAAATTGGGCCCCAGATTGTTCTGTTCGATAGGCCTTCCAGGCTTTTGCCGACCATCGCGGTGAATTCGCTCCAGTTGCCGTGTGCGCCGGGGGTGTAGAAGTAGGCGTTTCGTTCCCAGAGGTATTTTCGTGGTTGGTCTCTTGCGAATGAGACTGATTGCTCGAGGAAGTGGTAGATATGTCCGGTGTGTCTACCGTCCATTTCAAGTTGCCAGTAGTAGTCGAAGTTGGGATATAACTGGGCGAAGATCTGCAGTGGTTGGTGGTGCTGAAGCTGGGGACTGTCTATCGTGTCAACAAGAGAACCAAGGTTTCACAGTCAATGTATTTCTCACCTATGTTCTTCTATCTTTGGATACCAAGCCTCCAAAAGTTTGTTGTTAAAGAAAAGAGCCATATTCCGAAATTCCTCCGGAATAGAACTCTTAAGCCGATTCATCGTCTTAGTATCCGAGAAAATCGGCATCTCATCATCCTTAACATGAATCAAGAGGAAGATCTGATACTCCCCACCAGAATGCAAAGAAAGCTCCATAATCAAAGCACGGAGATATTCACGATGATGCGGCTTCCAAATCAACCCATTCCAAGCCCTAATCAAAAGCGCAGTGCGAGGATGAAACCGCTTCACATTCGAAGCCGTAACAGGAGGCGACTCCCAAGTCTTGTGAGGGGTATTAGGAAGATCAAAAGAAAGCGGACTCCGCATCGAACCATTCACCACATCACTCGACTTATACCTGCCAGAATTTCGTTCCAGGCATAGAGATTGCAACTCGTACCAATCAACTTGGCTCCACGGTACCGCAGGTGGCCGTGAGAAACCAGGTACTTTGTCCTCGCCATCTTCGTCGAATCCATATGCTCCAAAGCGGGAGTAGCGATCTGTACACACATCGCCGTCCAAGTCCATTGCCTCGTGCGATCCGAATCGTGGTTCGGGGAATCCGGTTTGTTGGCCTTTGTAGACTTGGACCATATCTTCTGGTCGTTTGCGGTCGAGGAAATGGCCCCTAGGACCTATGCAAGGCTGAAACTTGCCATGGTATTGCTTCTTCCATTTTCGACTGTTGTATGCTGGGTATGGGTCGTAGATGAATGGAACTGGGTGCGAGGCGTTGACGGATTTGATACTGGTCAGGGTCAGGGTACCACCGAGGTAGAACTGCTTGTCTCTGAGGAAGGTAATATCATAGATTAGCGTCATGTCAATTAACTTCCAAGATAATTGGATCTCGAACCTCCTGTCACGGACCACCCCCATCTCATCCAGATCCGGGTTCTCATATTCCCCCTCATCCTTCGCAGGTATGAACGCAGCATTTTCCTGATACTGACCAGGTAGAAGAATCCCTGGTCGATAAAAGGAATCGTAAGCAGCTCGAATCAGATTCGTCTCTGGGTGTTGTGCGAGATATGAGTAGACCCGCAAGACGGTGACCAGACAGGTTAGATATCCTAACCAGCGGAACCAGATCCATCGACGAGACCGAAAGACAGTGTTGGATCTGAGTCGGAATGAATACTGTGTTCGGTCTCTCGTGAACATCTTTATTGCGAGTGGTGCGTCCAGGTCTAGGGAGAGAGCGAAAGCTGCATGCTTTGATGGCCACGTTCAATAGGCCGTGTAAGTGTTGACAATCCAGAGCGTGTACGTGAGTCTAAGAAAAGCCGAAGAGATGGGGGCAAATAGGCTGCTCAACCATCGAGATCTCAAGCACTCAGAGTCTGAAGGTTTACTTTGGTACGGGCTAGGGCTTTGTGCCTACGATGTCATCACTACGTGCTGTTGACTACATCTTCCACGAACGACGGAGTAATTCCTCGCTGAGACCAGATATTGATTTCAAGGATGGAACGTCTGTTGGCGTGGTACGAAGCATTTGAAGTCGTAACTTACGATCTCTTTCGGGTAATTGTGTCTATCTGTGAGCTGCACACTTGTCATACGGGGATCACGCTGTGGAACGCGTGTGAAAGGATATCAATTCACTGATTTATGTCTCACTGTTTTGAGAGACATGCCCTAGCTAAATATGCCTGGGGTGCTACATATTGTGCTGGTTAAATGTAGAGTGACGTTGTATTCTCAGTTTGGTGGGTTGCTAGTCGAAATATATAACCAGTATAGTTGTACCTCTTGAAGTTAAAAACCGGTCTCTGTGGTAATCTAAAGACATCACCTATTCCTAGCCCCTTAGAAAGTGTTAAAAATACTGAAGGAGTCAAATACTACAGGGTTTGATGTACTAGAAATCCCAATCCTATACTGTAGCGTACACAGACAAAGCTGTAATCAAAATTTAAAATATACCACAAGACACCAATTAAAGAGTTACACAAGTCTTCAATTCCAGGACTAAGAACTTAAGACACGAACCAGGGCCCTAGAGTCCTAGACAGACAATATGTACATGTCGAATCGTGATTGATAACATTGCTATCAAGACAGCCTAACCAAAAGAATGGACCACATAGCCCAAAGCACACCGAAGCACACCTAAGCAAAGTAGCTCTTCCATAGAACACCCGATAGATCTTCTAGCTGATCAGAAGTGAACGCCTAGAATAACATCATGTTAGATATTTGCAATAGAAGTAAGGGAGGGGATGGGGTATGGAGGAATGAACGAATGAATGAGCATTACTAACCTTTGCATCGATATGCCAAGTATCCTGACGAGTCTTCTTGAACTCACTGATAATGGACTTGACACTAGACCCAACGATGCCGGGATCATTGGCAGCACGGTTACTGAGCGAAGTCAAAGCCTCGGGCATCCAGTGAGGCGGAGGGCTGTTGTACGGGAAAGCCTGGATCAAAGCACCAAGACCCAGCACGGCACCGTGGCGAACAATGATGAGTCGGTTGTGTTCTGGGGTAGGAGTTCCAGCGCCCGAGGAGACACCGGAGGATATTCCAGAGCGGAAGTTCTTTGGTTTTTTGGGAAGAGGATTCTCGACCAGGACCTTTGTGAAGCGGTCCTGGAAGCGTTTGACCATCTTCTCGCGCAGGAATACTGGAGAGCAGCGAACCATGCCGGATAGGGTTGCCGATGCGCCGGCGCGGACTTCGTGCTGCGAGTCTTCGAGCATGGAGGCGATGCATTCGAAGAGTTTGTCGCGGTCGGCGGGGTCGAGAAGGAACAGCCGGCGGAAGTAGATGATCTGGATGTTGATCATGACGCGGAGACGCTGGTGCCACGAGGGGGATGTTTGTCCGATGCGGATAAGGGATTGGATGAATTCAGAGCCTTTCTCGGCGGGGTATGGGATGTTGGGGAGATGACGGAAAACGTGGTATGCGAGGGATTGGAGCTCTGGGTCTTCCTTTACGTCCATCATGTGCAGGAGTTGCGCGGTGAACACATCAGGGAAGAATGGGACCAGTTGGGTGCACTCGTGAGAAGATAGAGTCGAATCCAGCCAGAGGAGGACAGTCTTACTACCAGAGGTGTAGGATGATGGTGTCTGTTGGCCAGGTGTTCTGGCTTTGCGCCATTCTTCAATCTGGGCGAAGACTCCACGGACCATCTTCGAGAACTCATCGGTGGGCTGGTAAGGGTATGTGCCAACAGATGAGGATGACTTTTGCGCCTCCAGCAGATGCTTGAGGTCGGGGTATGACTCGTGGTACCTCGTACGGTAGATAGTTGCCAGAGTCTGTCCCATGGCCTCACGGACGCCCTTATAAGGGTGATCCAGATGAGCAATGAAGTCTTCCACAATTGGCTTCTCCAGCTGGAAGTGCCAACCAGCATCGATGATGCATTGATGCAGAAGGTTGATCTTGGAACTCTCCTTAAAGGCGGCATTGGTGGACATGTCCAGACGGAAGCTAGACAGCCAGTCGACCAAAGGCCACGCTCGTCGGGGATCACGGCACTGCAAGATCATGTGGAGGAAGGTCGTCCAGTAACCAGAGTTCTCAGGGGTGAGACCATCGGTAAATATCTTCCTCACAATAGGGAAAGCATATTCCCAGACCTTAGTCCGCTTATCCACGCTGGTATCCGTTACAGAAGAGATCAGAGCGCCAAGAATTTCAGCAGTAGCACGGTGTTGGTGCTTGTCACTACCGTCTTCAAAGACAGCCTTGATCTCTTCCTGGATTTCCTCGAATGTGACGGCGGTAAGTTGATCCCGAATCATAAGTTCAAATGCATAAAGCAGCATCATCGCAGCAGACATGCGGAACTTATCAGCGGATGGGTCTCGTGGCTCCTGCTTCAAGTACATAAAGAACTTGGAAAACCACTCGCGAGTGAACAGCTTGCCCATCTTTGTGCGGATGTTCCACTCGACCTCATCGTACTCAATGTCCCGTGCCACATTAGACTTGTAGGCAGGCATGGACTTTCCCCACACGAGCCAACCAGGGAAGTCGTGATCAACATAATACTCGGCTTCGGGCTTTGCGAAGCTAGACAAGTATCTCTGGGTATATCCTTCCTCGTAGGGCTTTGTTGCAACCTTGATCTTGGACGGGAAACGTTGGTGGCCAAGGATGTAGTTCTTGTACTCGTGGGTGCAGATGGCACGGACGTCGATCATTGTAAACAGCGCAATGAGAGCCTGGGAGTACATGCCTCGCAAGCCAGGGTGGTCGTCAATGGAACCGAGTGTCATCAGTTCGATGAGGTTGTCGCTGGCGATGTAATCAAAGCGGAGACCCATGGTGATAACGATGGTGGCAGCACGGCTGGCGATCTTCCAGTGAGATACCCGAGCCAGGTTCACGAGCTCCTCGGCCAAGTCGGCTTTCTTCTTCTCGATAGCAGCGCGCTTGTTATTGATAACCACCCGCTTCTTCTCGATCTGGTCGCCGACGTCCGCAATGGGAGCAATCGCTTCCACGATTTCTTGGTCCAGGATTGCCATTCGCTCCATGGCACGACCATAGTCCATGACCTGGAATACAGCGGTGGAGCAAATCTTCTGCACGGAAGGCTTATCAACGGCACTGGCGTCGATGAACGCCCTGATCAGTGTTGGTGCATACTTCCAATGCCGCCCAACAGTTTTGGCGACACTGCTCAGGAGCAACGAGAAGAGTGCACCCTTGATGCGGGCGTGGTCATTCTCCTTGACACCCTTCTGCAGTGCCTTCAGTAAAGGTGGGATCACGAGCAGTCTACCGCCATAGACGGCCTTCAGTGCTGATTCACCGGCGTTTTGAGCATTGCGACGGGTCTCTGTGTACAGAGAGACGCAAGATTCGGCCAGATCAAGAAGAAGAACTTCATCCAGCTTAGACCGAGGACGCGGAGACGCGTTGTGTCGCAGACGTTGAAGGTGATACACGTTGGCTCTGCGGATAAGTAAGGGTCTAGGGTAGTCCTTGCGGATACCACTCATCTTATAGGGATGAATGTCTGCGGCCAAGAGTCGAGTCACGCGGTCGAGAACGTGGGCAGACCTCTCAATACCGACATCGACAAACCACGACCGGTAGGCAGAGTAAAGAGCGCCAAAGCAAGGAACATCATCCTCCTGCTTATCGCTCAAGAACCGGTGTACCTCATGCAAGACCCAGCCAGTTCGCTCGCGAATTTCGTGAATTGTCGTGTACAAGGGGTCACCCTCTTTAAGGGAATACCCGGTCGGGTAAGCGAATGCCTGTCTGATTGTTGCGTCGTCAGAGTTGTCCAAAGTAGCATCGGCGTCTTCCTCTACACCGTTTGAAGCTGCATCTGCCATCTCAACATCCCCGGAGATGGCATTGGGGCCTTGTTGCGTTGTAGTAGACGCAGCTTTGGGATCGAAGAGGACAGAGATTCCAGACAAGACGAGTCGCAGAAGCACAAGGTTCCGAGTAACGTCATCCGACCAATCTTTACCACTTCCATCACGTTTGACACTTGATGTCTCATGTGTTAGGGAAGACAAGTGCTTCAGGGCAGACTCCGCCTGGCTCTTGAAGACGTCCACGGCAAACTCGATCTCCTCGCGCTTCGGCACGTGCCACTTGATGTTGAGGTTATGGATATCGGGCTTGTAGCTCCAGAGATTAGGCTCGATACCCTCCGCGCTAACTGTAGGCTCATAGAGGGAGAAATCGTTGGTGTAAGTTCCAGTCAAGTTGAGCAAGAGGTGGTGGATAAAGTTGGAGATGTGAACGGTAGGAATGCCGCGGCACTTTTGTTGCATGTAAACTGCAATATCGAACAGCTCTTGGCGGTGACCAATCACAGCGCTTCCGACGTGCACCACACACATGCTGAGCATACTGATATTCCAGACCAAAGCACGGTCACGAGGCAAGACATCTGTGCCTGTGGTTCGGGTCGATCCAGCGCCATTGTCCTCAATCTCAGTGCGGATTGCTTGAGTCAACACCGGGATGAATCGCTTGAGAGCCTTCTCAGGGTTGACCTTGCACAGAGCATTGCAAATGAAGGCCATTGCGTCACGAGCCTGGTGGATGACATGGTTCGAAATGAAATCGACAATCTTGCCGAGAGCGGTATCGTAATACTCCGGAGACAAAGAGGCAAGCAAAGGCATGAAGGTGGCAGGGAGAGTGTTCACGATGTTTTCCTCAGGGGA